TCAAACTTTTTGTCAATGTATTTTCATTATTTGAAGCAATGGTAGATTTTACACAACTTAGGATGTACCATGGTACAATGAAGAGAAGGTAGGTCAACTTTGAAAAAATTACAAGTATAGAGGTCTACCTGTTTGCCTTGTAATGTCAGAATTACTATCAAAACAATAAAAAAGCAAACAACTTGTTGCATTGATTTTTAATAAATAATTTAAAACCGCGAAAAATGAATGAAAGGTCAAAATTTATTTTCAAAATCATGACCTAGATTTTTTCGATGCATACGTTGCAATAAGCATTTTGAAAACACCCAAATTTGAATATTTTCTGAAAATTTTTTTATTATTGAAAAAAATACACGCACATAAACAAATGAAATTGACATACTAAGCAAGAAAAATAAAAAAAAAATTAAAATCATATGGTTGTTCTGCCCTACCTTGAATTCATTGTACCATGGGATGTTCTACCATTGTGCATTGCCCCCTGTTTTAATTGGCTGGCTTCCCCCTTTTGACATACTACCAAGTTTCTATATTTACAAATCTTGTTTAATTACTCGTACTTAGTCGAGTACAGGTACTCTGAGGGTATTAAATAAATATTAGGTATAAACACTGTTTTGTCTTTGCAGCATCCCGTTAAATTTGTTGCCTCGATAATGTGGCACAATTATGCACAATTAAGGATGCTTCAAATTGCGTAGTAATATAACCCTTACCTCAATTTTTAGTAACAATTTATGTGGTAGAAATCCTGTGAATTTAAAAATTGTATATAATGATTAACGGCATCGTCTGTTTCCAAGACACAGTCCACTGATAAATATTCAGATTGCTGACCTTCATATGATTTCAACAATAGTTCATTAATGATAGCTGCTCTATCATTTTATGGGGTTAGTTAAAATAGCCATTCATTACTCTTTTCTTTCATATAAACCGTTTTTGAATAAACTGTTTCCGCTATTTGTCCGTCGAAATAACAACATTGCAGATGTTTAAGTTAGAATTGCGTATTGTCAAAGGGTCCAGAGAGCCTACGTTCGCTTAGTAAGGACCGTAGAGAGGAGTTCTTGGGCTTAAAGGTTGCCTGCAACTCCCCTTGGAGCCTACGTTCGCTTGGTATGGACCGTAGGGAGAAAGCCTTCCTCGTCAAAAAATATGCAATAGTGAATTTACCTATTGTTCTAATCATTCACTTACAGTACACCTACTTCGCCAATTGCTCTAGTTGTTTTGTTGTTATTTTTATTCCTTTGCCGCAGCCTCTCCATTGCATTGAAAAAATAACAACAACAATATATCGATATTCCAACCACTGCACTATGGGTAAAAAGCATGATTTTTTGGCATAAAGTCATTTTTTTTTTTTGGTTTCATATTTTGAAATTTAACTGATTTCCTAAATGTAGATACCCATATTAGAAAAAAAAAATGTTTAATATCAATACGGGTGGCAACCCTTTTTTGCTGGCGAGCTTTTAAAGTCAGCTGTTTGAAAGTCACTTTGTTTTGGTACAACTGGCGGTAAAGATCAGCTAAGTTCAAGTGCTTCTGATTTGACAAAATTGAAAAAAATAAAATGTGTAATTATGGAAAACGTTAGTGCAGGTATGTAAAATTAAGACGAGGTGCCCTTTTTGTCATAATTGTCTGTTGTTGTAATACTGTGAATTGTTTCGTTTATGTATAGCTTTATATAAAATCTATAAATTGTAGTTGTGTTCCGTGGAGTGTAACTTGTGAATGGCAAAGCATTGCAAAAAGGTATAAATGCCAAGTTATTAACAAAAGTGTGTTAATTAATGAGTAACTAGCCTTTTTGTTCTATTTTGTGCCAACACGTGTTTTGCAGATAAACATGTGTTTGTCCATGCAGCGCTTATTGAAATTTGGAGAAGCAACAATCGCTCAGAAGATGCACTTGTGAAATATGTGTTACAGAATATCAATAATATCAGTTTAAATGAAGACCAAATGCGTTTGATATCAAAACAAATGAAAGATTTTGTTAATTATATAAAAAAGCATTTGCCAAAGTGCATCCGTAAACTAGAGCGATTTAAAACTAAAAATTCAAAATGGCTTAGCAAAAGTATAATTATTGTAATGAATGAGCAGTATGTTTCTCCAAATCATCATAGCCGATCGGCCAGATCGGCTATATAGCAGCTACATGAAATAGTGCCCCAAATCATATGAAAATTCGTAGGTCATCTTGGGGGCATAAAAATGAATACAAATCAAATTTCCCTTCAATAGTTGGGTCAAATCGGCTATATAGCAGCTATATGAAATAGTGCCCCAAATCATATGAAAATTCGTAAGTCATCTTTGGGGTATAAAAAATTAATACAAACCAAATTTCACTTCAATAGCTTCATAAACAAAAAAGTTGGGTCAAATCGGCCAGATCGGCTATATAGCAGCTATATGAAATAGTGCCCCAAATCATATGAAAATTGGTAGGTCATTTTGGAAGCATAAAAAATGCATACAAACCAAATTTCAATTCAATAGCTTTGAAATTAGAGTTTATGCCAAAATAAACGTAAAAAAACCCATGGTGCACTGGTCGCATACCGAAAAAAACGGTTTAGTAATCCATTCCGTTGTTGTGAGAGCTTGCATTTAATTCTTTATTTTTTTCGACAACAACACAGTGAGTTGTTGCTGTTTTGCCGCTTGACTGCTTGCTTATGCACCACCACAGGCACATTGACTACGCTGTCGACGTCGCTTGTGTTTTGTTTCGTTTTGTTTATCTTCGTTATTTCGCGGCACAGTGGGTCACAGGTGAAAAAAATCACGATTTAATTTTAGTAAATTTATTAAATTAGAAAATTGGTGGTTTTTCTCCATTTAATAAATTTTTCGCTACCAACGGTTTTTTGGACACTGTACACCATACAACCAGCCCTATATGTTGAAATATTATTTTTTCGGGTAAAAATAGTTGGATTTATTGTAAAAAATATTTATTTGGGTTCTTTTTGCAAATATTATTATCTGTTTTTCATTGAACTTCAGTTTTATTTTCTTGCGTACCCTGCATTCGTTCATGTACGCCAAAAATTACAAATTTGTTTATTTCTCTTTTGAAATTGAGCGAGATTTTTTGATTGTTTTTACATTTTCTTACACTAAATATCAGCTGTGTCGTAATTCTCGGGATTTTACTTTTTCTCAGTTCCCAATTTGAGTTCGTCGTCCCGAACATCTAAGGATATGGGAAATCAGGTCGATACAATTGCTTCTGAAGTTGATTCAGTGAAAAGTGCTAGAAACAACGTCTCAGGTTGGTTTCCTTCGGATACTGTTCACTCCCTTACCCTTTCTCTGTGCAATATTGAAGTTTTCAAAGAGGGATGTGTTTACTATGGTTTACATAAACAATTCCCGCTTAAGTGATAAAGAGACACTTTGCCATGTAGTGCAAAAAATATCAGGGGAATCAAGGAAAATGGTAAACAAATTTCCTCTCGGTCACCGAAGTTTCAATTTAGCTTGGACTGCTTTAAACAGTACCTTTGATAATGAACGAGTCATTGTGAATAGCCATCTCAAAATTTTATTTCACCTTCCCACGGTAGATCGATTTGTTCTAATTAAAAATTTGTTCTAATTTAAAAATTTCTCAACGGGGTATAAACGCCTGCTTGTCGGCTATAGCTGTTTACGATATTCCAACGGATCAATGGGATCCTATTTTAGTCTTTTTGTGCATTCAACGTTTGCCTAGGTTAACGGTCACATTGTGGCAGGAAAGTATACAGGATAAATCAGCATTATCTTTGTGGTGGTGCATTTTTGACAGAGAGAATTCAGACTCTTGATTGTTTACGGGACATTAAGGGATCTGATTCACATACCAGATCTAATCCGGCCAGGGTTCAGCCTCACTCCACTAGTGCTTCGGTGAATGTTCACGCAAAATTCTTTTTGAATTTTGTTGTTCCCTTTGTCCCCAACAAAATCATTCTCTTCTGTCATGTCCCAAATTTCGAACATTGTCGATAGGAAAGAAATTGTCTGTTGTCAAAACACAGGGATGTTGTTGGAACTGTCTGTTTGGGGGGTATTCTCTTTGTTTCGTTGCAAAATGAAAGTAAAAGAAAATAAAACACAATATTTAGAATTTTATTTCAATGCAGTCGTGGACTGTATATTTTATTGCATAATTGTTCGTGGAACAATTAAAATTACCCTTTTACAGGATGTTTGGGTTAAGATGCTTTTCGGTCGTGAACCAATGAGCGAGTCATCTTAGCGAATTAAAAAAACTAAGATGTCTCAAAGCGGTGTTTAGAAAGCTGCTCGTTACATTTTGTTACTACATTTGTTTTTGTCTACGAAAAAAAAGACGTATAAATGAGTAGTGGACAAAATGTAACGAAGGGATAAAAAAGGACCTGTGTGGAAATTTTAAATCATATACTTTAGGAAAAATGCTTTGAAACTATACATTGCTGCCAGCGTTGCAACATCCTGCTATGTTAAGAACAAAATATACAATTTATTTATTATTTTTTTTTTTTAATTTTTTTCTTTTGTTTCTTTTATTGCTTATTTATTTAATTATTATTTTTTTTTAACTTTTTTTAAAACCATTTAATGGTACCAATATTTTGCTCGTAGAGCAGAGATCGTAATTGGCTCGTAGAGCCAACTTCGTTCTTCGTAACAAATGACTCGTAGAGTCCAGTGACGAGGGCTCGTAGAGCCAGAGACAATTGAAGATTGCCCCTCACTTCTTTTAAATATTACATGGGCCCGATATTACCCAGCCAAAAATGGTGAATCACTCGCGCCAACACTGAAAGGCGTTGCGTGCTATCATAAGATGAGGCGACGGAAAACTGATAGAACTTTTCTGGACCCACAAGTACGGGGCATAGCTTAAGACAGTCAGCCAGTGACCGACAAATTATGCTATGTCCTGCACTTGGGTCCAAAAGGGCTCTGACAGGTATCCGTAGCCCATTTAGAAGCAGCTGTACCATGTACTGAATGGCGGCTATGTGCTGAATGGCGGTTATTGGCCGATTTGCATCGCAGGTCGAAGCCCCACTGATTTTGGCCTGTTGGGGAGTGACCGATGTACCTGGGCGTGTGGAATGTGAAGTAAAGGACGGACGTTTTGAAGGTTTACGCTTTCGGAGCTTCTTGAGCGGCCTAGGATGCTTGGAAGTACTTGGCTGGGGAGCGCTGGACGGAGTCCGATTGTTGGAAGAAGGTTGGAGGAGCAACGTGTGGTTGCTGGTTGCAGATTTTGCAACAAAGCCGACTGTGGCAATCTCGAAGAGAATGCGTTGGCGATAGACAGTTTCCGCAGCATTTTGCAGATCGACTGTTCGCAACCTTCTTTCAATGCGCATCACATTGAACTCCTTGCAGTCCCCTAGCTGATGCTTGCCGCCACAGTAAACACATGCCTTGTTCGAGTCCCGGTTATTTCGACAGGATGCTAAAGGGTGTGGCGAGACCAGTGTTTCTCCTGAAGGATCTTCAGGGACCGCCGTAAGTGGATTTTTTGTTCCCTCCGAGGGAGGTGCAGCTTCCGGAGGCACTGTTGCAGTTGGCTCTTCGGAGATGGGGACAGCAGTGAGGTCGAGCTCCCGTTCCTCATCGGACATGGGGACGTCGTCCTCATATTTAGGGAGTGTTTCAGCCAATAACACAACGATGAGGAGAACAAATATTACTTGGCCAGAATGATCAACAAAAACCATAGGTCGTTTTAAATTGTCATAATCTGGTAAATCGCGAAGCCATCAACGATAATTTTTTATTTCACGAAAAAGCATAGAGGATACAAATACGAATCGAAAAAAGGAATATGACAATTACGGTAGCGCAATTAGTTTAACAATTGGCCGTCGGATAGTGCCATTTTCCGTATGGATATCTGCGACTCGTACTCGACCATCCGAACCCGAATGCACCGCTATAATCCGTCCTAATTTCCACGAAGTGGGAGAAAGATTTTCATGCCTTACTACGACTAAGTCGCCTTTTCGGATATCGCGTTGCGGAAACTTCCGCTAAACATGTTGCCGTAGACAAATCAGAAGTAGCCTCAAGATGTATTGCTTTCGTAGAAAAGCAAACAAAAACACAGACGTAACCTTTAGTGATTTTAGAAAAGCGGCCTGTAAAAGATTTAAGATCGAAGGGACCTGTAAAATCAACCCCGGTAGTGGTGAGTGGTCTAGATAATACGGTTCTTTCCAGAGGAAGCGCAGCCATTATCTGAGAGCACGACCGATTTTTGGCCAAGAAACATGGTTTAAATTTAGTAATAGTTTTTCTAATTATTGATGTGAGTCGTGGGACCCAATATTCAATTCTAATGATGCGTAACATCAGTTGATTTCCACCATGGATGGAAAGAACATGTATGAATTGAAGTAGTAAGTGCGTGAAACGACTTTGGCGAGGCAGAATAATGGGATGCCCTTCTGTGTAAGACAGAGAAGGTGATTGCCTAATTACCCCGAATTCATCCAGAAATGGATTTAAGGGTAAAAGAGAACTCTTTGCATTTAAGGGAACCTAATCTTACAGAGACTGGTACTCATCTGCAAAGTGGACTTTTTGAGATAAAATAGCCAGACTTAATCTAACCGCTTTTATCTCTGAACTGGTAAGGACCTTCTCATTATAAACGTATCGACCTCTATGAGCAGGATGAGTCGGATGGAAAAATCTAAAAACACAGAAGAGGACTAGAAGGGACCTATCTAACGAAGAGAATTCTTCTAAGGAGTCACAATAATTACTAAAGAAAGAGACATGAGTCTTGACAGCACGCATTTCAATTTCGGCGTCAAGCAGAGGAAAATTGGATAAATTACAATGAGTACTATTTTGGCGTAGCCACTGTGGTCCATGTCACCAAAGATAAGAGGAGGCGAGCTCGGAAGGCGAAACCCCCCGCTGCATAAATCAGTGGGATTATCTTCAGAGCGCACGTGATGCCAATTACCTACGTCTGTTATCTCCTAACGCGATTGGAGAGGACGATCGTAGAATCAGTCCAACAATAAATTTTTTGAAATGAATTTTGCTAACACGATTGGAGAGGACGATTGTAGAATCAGTCCAACAATAATTTTTTTTGAAATGAAATGTCAATTTCATCTATAATATTTTTTAATAATTTGGAGGCCAAAACAGCTCCGTAAAGTTCCAACCGTGGTAAGGTAATTGTTTTTAGGGGGGCTACCTTAGTTTTGCAGGTGAGGAGGTGAGTATAAATGTCTTTATTTGGCGTTATAATCCGAATATATATCACCCCCGCGTATGTCTTTTCTGAGGCACCAGAAAATACATGAAGTTCGGCGGAACAACTTGGCGTATAATGGACCCACCGAGGAACTTGAATGGAATTCACATCCTGGTAGCAATCCACAAAATTTTGCCAATCACGTTCTGTCGTGGACAGAAGTGCATCATCCCAGCCGACTTTATCTGTCCAGATCTTCTGCATAACTATTTTAGCTGTCACAATTACGGGGCCTAATCAAACTAAAGGATCGAACAGTTTGGCAATAGTGGACAAAGTTTCTCGTTTTGTATAGTGGGCTTTGTGGGGAGAGCATTCACACTAAAGTAAAACAAATCAAGCTGAGCATTCCAACGTATACCTAACGGCTTGGAACTGCTAGCTTCCACTAAGGAAATAACTTTGGCGTCTATTAAATCTTCCGTAGGAAGATTTTGCAAAATCGCACGGTCATTTGCTGTCCACTTCCTCAACTCAAATTTAGCGGACAAAAGAGCAGATCTGAATTGATCGCGAGAATTTAAAGCTGTACGCAAGTCATGATATCCTGTTAGAACGTCGTCGACGTACATGCACCTACGTAGTAGGTGCGCAGCGAGAGAATATTCATCGTCAGTATCGTCAGCTAACTGTAAAAGCGTCCGTATGGCTAAATAGGGGGCGCCGTTTACGCCGAATTTCACCGTCCGCAACTCAAAATCTTGAACAAGTTTTTGAGGAGAATCCCGGAAGAGTATTCTCTTTAGTGGAGTATGTGCCGGATCGACACGAATTTGGCGATACATCTTTGTGATGTCGCAGTTATATACAAATTTAAATAATCTCCACCTAAGAATGAGGAATACTAAGTCTAATTGCAGAGTGGGACCCACATGTAAAATATCATTAAGACTTTTCCCGTTGGAAGTTTTATTCGAGGCATTGAAAACCACTCGATGCTTGGTAGTCTGCTTGTCGGGATTTATTACTGGATGGTGGGGGAGGTAACAAACCGTAGAGTTTGATGACACGGCAACTAATGGCCGGATCGACACGAATTTGGCGATACATATTTGTGATGTCGCAGTTATATACAAATTTAAATAATCTCCACCTAAGAATGAGGAATACTAAGTCTAATTGCAGAGTGGGACCCACATGTAAAATATCATTAAGACTTTTCCCGTTGGAAGTTTGATTCGAGGCGTTGAAAACCACTCGATGCTCGGTAGTCTGCTTGCCGGGATTTATTACTGGATGGTGGGGGAGGTAACAAACCGTAGTGTTTGATGACGCGACAAAATTGGACGTTTAGGAACTTCCTCCAGTTCCCACAAGCGAAGAAGGACTTTGTAAGGTTTTCTTCGTCAGATATACTGACTTTATCGGAAAGGACTGATAGATGTTGACGGGGAATAGAACCAGTAATGATCCAACCAAAGACTGTATTTTGTGCTATTAGGGAGTCTAATATATTAGTGTGAATTCCCTGTAGTAGCATCTTCGAATAAAAATCTGCTCCCAGCAAAAGGTCAACAGGGCGACTGTTGGACAAATTTGGATCAGCCATACGTAGATTTTGCACACGAGAAACGAAGTCGCTATTGCATGATTAATACCAGAAATGGTAGCGACAGTTGTAGTGGAGGCGATGCCTAGTATGTGCTGTAAGCGATCTGTAATAAAAAGAAGCTTCTGAAGCAGGGTCAATTAATGCTCTGGCAGGGTACGTGGTATCCTGGTGAACGATGTTCACCATTGCCGTGCCTAGTAGGACATTTCGACTTTGAGCGGTATGAAATACCTGTCTATAAGAAGAGCTGGAAGTTAGACCTGAAGAGTTGAAGGGTTAATTGGACAAAGCTACGTTTCTGACTTCAGAAGTTGCTACAGTCGAAGACGTGGAATTATCTCTACGTGGAATTATTACATTTACTACAACTGTATGGACTGCTGCAGTGGTTGACTAAATGTTTAGGAGACAGACAATTTAAACAACAATCATGTCGCCTAATGGTGTTAATTCTTTCAGGAACTGAAAGTTTTAGAAAATTTTGGCATGATGCATTTGTCGTGGACATAGAATGCATGTTTTATTGGAGGGTGCTCAAGATGGCCTAGGTGACGAAGGTGAATTACGAAGCGTGAAAGTAGGGGATCGGTTCGTACCAGCATTCGTGAAATGTGAACAAACTTTTTTACTACTTTGAGGTTTGACGTTGTCAATGCCTCTAATGTCACGAAGACAGGTAAGAGTTTGGATGCGTTCTGTAAGAAACTTATCCAAATCTTCCCAGGAAGACAAAGCTGATTTACTTTTGATACTTTGTTCCCAAAGTGTGACGCTATTTTTGGGGAGCCTTTGAAGACATATGAACACTAGAATAGGGTCCCAGCCTTCAACAGACACGTCATAATTTAACATGGCCCAAATACACTCATTTATGCTTCTTAGCAATTTCTTTAAAGCTAAACTTGTTTCACTGTCTAATACTGGCAGGTCAAATAAAAGCTTAAGATGGTGGTTCACCAAAATACGTGGATTGTCATACGTTTGTTTTAGAGCTTTCCACGCAAGACCAAAGTTTTTGTGGTTAAGTGAAAACTTAGCCACTTTGTCATGGGCGTCGCAACTGGTCTTATTGTTTAAATAACATAGCCATTAAATGTCACTAATGCCAATATTATTAATATACACTGCCGAGAATAAGTCTCTAAATCTAGGCCAGGAAAGAAAGTCGCCATTAAATATTTCTATGTCACAATTCGGTAAATTCAACCTATGGCCAGAATTATCACCACCACAGGATGTGAGTGACTGGTTAAAAGATATTGGCGAATGAGAAGCCTCTAAGATCGAAACTCTATCCTCGGAACAAGGAGTAGGCTGATTGGCTGTGCTAATCCCGGAACGACATATAGTCCTAATTCCTACGCTAGCCTGAGGAGACGGTGTCACAATTGATGACTTAGGCGGAGCCCGAAGTTCATCTAACTTTCTGTTGATGGAAGCTAAAACTTTTAGGTAACATCTAAATGCGACATCGTATTTAGTGTCAGCGGCAGTGATGTCCTCACCTGAACTGTCTTCTTCTGCAAAATAATTAAGACACTTGTCGAAAACGGTTTTCACCTTTTCCCATAACGTCCTGACCTCAGCTCCCTGTAATTCTAGATTATAGATATCGAGCTCGTCGTCCCGTTGGGAACTGAAGTTGGCATCAAATTTAACCAAAGCATCAGTAGCTCGGATGAACAAGTCTAGATGTGTGATGTGGCATTGGAAAAGTAGCAAAAAACCAAGAATTCTCAAAGAATTGCCTGAAAAACAATTTGTACTGTGAAAATCTTTACAAAGATGTATCAAAAATACAGCAGAAA